GTTTTGTTTGCTTTGTAAATTACTAAAATCTCATGTTGTTCATTGTTTTGACATTCATTCTGGTGGATGAATGTATCATTTCACTGTGGCTTTAAATGTCAGTTTATTTCTTAGTCATGATGCTGTTCCTTCTCTATACATGTCTTGAACACTAATACCAACCTGTACATGATTTAACTTGAGGTATAAAGCTTTTGTAACACCAAACAAATCTTTCTCCTATTACCCTTTTATAGTGACATACAACTCCTCACATTCCATACGCAATTCTGCCAGACAGCATTATCCACATCTATATCTTTTATTTAAAAATTGATAGGCATAAATTAATACATATGAATTATATGCTCTTATATATGTATGAATTCATACAATATGTAACCTTTAGATGTTGGTTTTCTCTATGGTTAATTTTTTAAATTTGCACACTGTTAAAACTGGTTGAAAATGATGCTTTCATTTTGGTGGATGACATCTAACTCTCTTCTGCTAGGAAAGTTGTTTCCTAGCATTTTTGACTCACTTGGGTTAAATTTTAGGGAAATTCATGAAGCAGGGAGCATTTCCTGTGAGGGCCTGACTGACTTTTGGTTCACACTTCTAGAAAGAAGCATTTCAGGCTTCAAACCAATGTTGAGGGAATAGAAACGATTTATTATAGCCCTATTCCTTGGTGAGGTCAAGACCCCATCTGACTCTCTCCTTAGCCCCACAGTCTTCCCCTGTCCCCTCTGGACTCATCTAACAATCCATGTAAAATAAAGCTCTAGGGGCTTGCTTTGCCCTTCTGACCTTTGTCCTCTGGACTTTAGTCTAAAAATGCAACTCTAGTAACTTTGTAAGTATTCAAGGTTCTCATATTTTTCTCCAGATTTTCAACTTATACTCAATAGAAGTTGAGTATAAACTTCTTGAATTTCTGATACTCAAATGTTTCTCACAGTTACAGCTTTCTTCAATTCAGCCAGTGTTTAAAAAATTACTGAATAAAAATTGGGAGATGTGGCTTCTTTTCTTGAAATCTAAATTAACTCAAGAGAAGGAGGGGGAGGAGATGGAGAAGAAGGAGGAGGAGAAGGAGAAGGAGATGGAAGAGGAGGAAGAGAAGGAGGAGGAGGAGAAGGAGGAGGAAGAGACTTTGAGCAGCTAGGGGGAACTCTCTCTGTTGGGAAAAATGCTGACTCTCAGAATCTGCTATTGTCAGCATCAGCCACGGGTCTTATTTAACAAACACGCACAGCTACTGTAAGCACATGTATTAAATTTACAATTTAATAATTTTTTAATTCATAGAGTTTTCCTAATAAATGAAATCTCACTTTGAATTCTGGATGTCATCAGTTTCCTATAACTTAGAAGCATCGACTTGAGGTATGAAATCAGTCATACTCCTTGGACTATTTCCAAACTTTAACTATCCAGAAATCATCTTTTTCCCTTTTCCACTGCTCAGCATCTCATGAAAACATTAAGTCCTCTAAGGACGTTTATGTGCAATTAGTCCTTATCGTTTTGTCTGAGGAGAGAAAATTTGATGACTTCCTTTGTAATTACTACAAGAGACAGTTGTTAACAGCCCCAAGGACTACTCTTAACTTAGTCAATTTACTCAGAATCTATTTTATTACTAGTTAATCTAGCATAATAATGATTGTTCCTCCAATACCAGAGTAAATATGAGACATATTAAAATTTATGTAAAATAGAAATTATTATATAGATTCTTAATGCCATGACTTAATTAAGGCCAATGGCTTTGTAAGCAGATACTGTGGATCTCCTGCTGTTGGATATATACTGGATTATGTCATGCTCATTGACTCTAACAAAAAAGGCTGTTTTTCTGGGAAGCTATGTTTTATTTTGGAAGGAAGAACACATAGAAAGCAGTGTAAAGTATACATGAAGTACTTTTTCATATGTAAAATGTCAGTTTAAAGGAAAGTGAATTATACCATTATAGTGTCAAATAGGAAGAAGTTTAGGATGTTGACTGAGAAAGACTCTTGAAAAGAAGTTCTAGCAGGCTTTGGGGAATGTTTTAGATATGGCAGTGCATGATGGAGACTGGGTGTGGGAATGTTTTACTAGCCAGTGGAATTTTTGCAATTCGTATCTTTCAGGAACTCAGTCAATTCTCTTTTACTATTTTTCTCCACAACATTCTGAAGGAAATTTTGTGGTATATTGACAAAGAATCAACTTAATTTTTGCTTGGATTTACCTAGTTTATTTTATGTGTATCGGCATTTTGCTTGCATGTCTGTGAGCTACATGCATACCTGGGACCTGTGGGGGTCAGAAGGGAGTCAGGTTTCCTAGACCTGGATCTGTGGATGGTTGTGGGCTGCCATGTGGGTTCTGTGAATTGAACTCTGCAAGCACAGCAAGTGTGCTTAACCACTGAGCCATCTCTACAGCCCCTAAATTAACTTTTTAATGTCAAAGAAAATGTGGAGTCTAATGCTTTGTTTTATTTTATGTGAGTGTGATGATGATGGGAAATGAGAGAATAACTGATAATCATCTCATGTCTCAATTGAGTTTTGACATCTGACTTCACTGAATGAAAGAGAAAGACTGAACTTTCTGTGTCATGTAAGATGTTCAACATGTCAATAGTGATTTTAGGTGTGCACAGTCGCCATTCAATGTTCAAGTGCCTAAGTCATAGGTTAAACAACATTTAGTAGTTACTGTCAACAAATGTCACAAGATAGTGGCTAATAAATATTTAAAATCCCAACCTTGACAAACTTACAGGATATGGATTCCTCTGGAGCTGGCCTAGATGGGAAATACCTCATGTAAGACATATAGATTAGAATTAGTTCATCAGGGAGACCACAGAGGTTGCATAATCCAATTAAACAAATCCCTCCTTTAACACTGCTAATAAATGCCTCTACTTTTTTTTTAATGAAGCCTCTCTAGCAGTATATAATTCACTTTCTGAGACATTCCATGCCAAACTAATAGAATGACCTTACTTGAATCAAATGCCAAATCAGTCTCTTAAATAAACCTGACAGAACTTCCCAGTCTGTGTGCCCCAACATCTGAGGTGCACCAGTGTCTAAGTGAGGATAATGGCTTACCTAATCCATGAGCCCACAAAGTTTTCCTGTAGGCTCCCAAGATGCTGCAGCCTAGGGGTGATTGCCATGAGAAGCCTTCTATGTTTACACCTGTGTTTTACCTCTTACACACGACTTCCATGAATAAAAGCAGCAAAACCCTGCACTCCTTACAAAGTATCAGCCTCTACAGTGGTAACATATTAGCACTAATAGATACTATTACTGTCACTGGTTCTAATTTCCCTTATAAAACCATGAGGTGGAATACATTTGATGTTATTAACTTTAACCTAAAGCTAGTTTTTATACTGCCCCAGTATCTTCCTTTGATTAAATACCCCAAGTCCCGCTGCACCTCTTTATCTAACAACAGCTCAAGATATTTTTGACATCTTAGTTGTCCCCTTGTGGACACCTACAGTGTGTCTGGGTTCCTTTTCCAATATATAGTACTGACAGGTTCCCTCATAAATAAGGCTGTCAAGTGTGTCTTGGAAAGATGAGTTGGAGAGAGGAACAGAGAAAATATATTCTCACTGGGAAACAGAATAGTGAGCCAAGCAAGTCATGGCGCACATTTCCAAAACTAATAGTGTAACGAGTTACAATAAAATTGTGGGACAAACAGATTTCAAAGAGGCTGGATTTTAAGAAGTCTGTGGAGTCGTTGGAATGGCTTTTGTCACATGTTTGTGAAGTAAAATAAATAGGATAGTAATCATTTGCTGTGTCACTTGAGGACCTGTCTCTCAAGTGACTGCAGCATTGATGTGAACCTCTTGCAAGCAGAAAATGCCACAGATACTGTCATCCTTTGCTCCTTAGATGGAATCAATCAATGATCGTAAATCACTCCAGAGGTGTTGCCGGACAACTGGAGATGGTCCACAAAACGCACATTTCCAAGATGTGCTGCTGTAGGATGTTAAAGCCTGCTCTTGTTTAAAAAAAAGGGGGGGGGGCGTTGTTACCTAAAGAAGTTAGCTTGTCCTATCTTGAGAGCCACAACCTCAGGAGTTTCAACCATAAATTTTCCTAGCCAAACCTGACCCTTCTCTCGCGCTCTGCCCACCCGCAGTCAGTTAGTATAGCATAATACTTAGAATTTATTGAATACCAACGATGTGGGTTTGACTACTGTTTTATAATCCAGATATTCTGTAAAGCTGAAGACTGTTACAGTACCTCTAAAGTTGAATGCCTTAAATGAGCTAAATAAAATATGTAGAAAAGGCCTGGCAATAAAGAACACTGCTTTTGTTCTCCAATTTTCTAATTTCGTATACCTTCAGCAGATACAAGATGTAACCGTAAATGCAGGGGTTAAACTGGAGAACAGGACACTGTTACTCTTGGTGTTCTCAGTGCTGCCTATTTTACGGGAAAGGCGATGACTTTGGAACCACACTCTGCATACTATTTCAAAAGCTACTAATTATTGAGTTTGTAATCTTGGTTTTGGGCGGGGGAAGCACTGAATTCCTGTGGGTCTTCTTCCTCGTCTTAAAAAGACTGAAAAAAAAATCTACTTTGAAAATGTGTTTTGACTATTAAATATGACAAAGTATGCAAATTGCTTGGCACACGGTTGCAAGTAAAGGTAAAGCTTGTTTCCCCGTCCTCCTCCTGAATCCTGTGGCTGCACTTGTGGCTGGGAGGATGGGGTGGGGGGCGGGCGGGGCGGGCATGGGGAGGAAAGGGAAACACACTCATCTTAGAGAGGCCAGAGCTTGAAGGTCCAAGAAGGTAAATGCGTGGATGGAAGTAACTATTTTCCAGAAGAACAAAATCCTGGAGGTACCGGACAAAGCGAATGGGAGGAATGTAAGGACCTCTTCTGAACTACATCTCCCGGGATGCTCAGCAAAAGGGAGCACCCCGCCCCGCCCTGCCCCGCCCAGCCGGACTCGGCGGGCACCGCCCACCCAGCGGAACCCAGCAGGGAACACTGGCTACAAGTGCTGCGGCTGGGGAATAGCGGACTTTCTCAGGGAGCCACGCGGACGCGAGTGCTGCTCCCGCTCCAGCTTCACCCGGTAGCCGAAGCAGAAGGTGAGTGGCAGAGAGTGGGATGGGGAAGAAGCAAGCGGAGTGGAGAGAGAGAGAGAGAATCGGAGCCTGGAGCTAAAAGGAGCTGGGGCACGCATCCCTACTCCCCGCTCTAGGTGCCTGCAAGGACCTCAGCGGCCGCAGCCAGACTGCAGGTGCCTTGATGGGCCAAGAGTTCGCCAGGAGAACTGATTGATCCCGCAGCCTGTTGGGGGCTCCCCTGCCGGGTGCTAGCAGCGGGTCCTATAAACCGAGTGCAGTGCGCTCATCCTGCATCCCGCATCCCACATCCTTAGGTGGTCTCCTGCGGACTAGCCTTGTCCCTGTCAGTTCTGTCCATATTTTACTGCCTTTAACTGAGGATCGGCGGACTAGGGAAAACGCTGCCCACTGCTTTGGAGGTGCAATCTCATTAACTGGGCTTTTAAACAGATCAGAGTGGGGAAAAATAGGGGGAGGGAAGAAGAGACCTTTGGCTGGTCCCCTGAGATTATCCGTCATCCACTGAGGCTGGAAACCTGAGAATACAGATCTGCAAATCAACTGTACAGTTAGTGAGTCTCTAATCGAGCCCACTCTCTTCTTCCGAGAGAGGAGAGAGAGAGAGAGAGAGAGAGAGAGAGAGAGAGAGAGAGAGAGAGAGAGAGAGAGAGAATTAATTTCTCTGCTTTGTTATAAATTGGAAGTCTCGTAAGGGACCCTGCCGATTTTATCTAAAGGAGTCTAATATGATTAGTTAATTGTGCCAAAGGTTAATCAGAGCGACTCATGCCTGAGGGATCCATCTGTGAGTGTTTCTTTTCGGTAATTGATGAAACCGGTTCCCATCACTTCCTTCAATGAAGGATTCTTCAGTAGGGGCTTGTCCACTTGCTGAAGGAAAACTGATTCAGTTATGTTTTTTTTGCACTTAGCACTGTGGGTTTATTTTGTTTGTTGTTGGTTCACTTTTTGTATTTTCAGTGGACACGAGGGTGGGGGACTTGGAAGTACAGCAGAAAACATGTCGATTTTCTTTTCTCTTCTGTGAGTTGCCTGGCTGTCTTAGGCGAGGCTTGCTTGTGTACCTCTGTTACCAGCTGCTGGAGTTGGGGATTTTGATTCATAATCCTCCAGCCACGGGTTAAAGTTAATCACCACTCTGGACTGAAATAAAAACAAAGGGAGTCCTTCACTAAGCCCCCTGTATTTATTGAGAATCGAGAGTGAATTTTTATTCCCCAGGAAGCTAGCAGAGGGAGTAGTAGATGGGCAGATAGATGGCTTCCTGGCTTTCTGTTCAACACAGAGTTCCATGGCATCAAGGCGAGCAGAGGTGAGGGAGTGCCGTGGATGCAGAGCTTCAGCTGTAGCTCTGGAAACTGCTTCTGCCTTCTTTGTCTCCATTCAATGCTATTTGTTTATCATTATTTTTTACCCCCTCAACTTACTTGTACATCGTGTTTGTGAACATGTCTGGGGAGCTACTACTTCCTTGTCCTTGTATGTTAGCAAACTGTAGGGCAGAGAAGTAACTCAGACCCACCGAGACTTTGTGAGTGGGAGCAGCAGGCACTCGATGGGAACACGTAGTACATACGTGTGAAGTGGACTGGCTCACTGTGTTTTGCAGAAGACCATAGTGAAATGTGTAAACTGCCCCTGTGGAACAGGGAGTGGATTTAAACAGAGTAGAAGAGCATAAGGCTATATTAACACAGGGCCCAGGGCTGTGTGTAGTTAGTTACTAGATACATGAATAAGAGAATCCCTAGTCCTGATTCCTCTTTTGGTCACTGGCTGATTTAAGTCATCCTTTTCATTCACTTCATAGCTGCTAAGTCAAGATGCTGATTCAACCACACCTAGCTGATAGGGGCATACATTCATTAAAGCTAATCTGTATTAGAATCTGTTCCGAACTGGAGTGTAAACATGCACTCTAATTGAATTGTTGAGAAGTCCGCACTTGCTAGAGAACTCCAGAAATCCGGCAGCTCTGCTAAAGAGGGCTCTGCCTTTCTCATTTGTGTCTTTCTACAGGAAACTTGCCTTCTCGTTTGAGGGATTCTGTCACGGGAACGTGTGAGTCCCTGGATAAATTTGGCTTGGTGACGGCAGTGTGCTCTCTCCAGAGATACTGCCACTTCCTCCTTGCTCCTTTTCTCCCCGACCTGAGTTTCTCCTGCTAACCCTGTGACAAGTCAGAAGATTTGCCCTTTCCACACTCTTCTGCCACCTGGTTCCCTTTCTTATGTGTGTCCCTCTCATGAGGAACTGAGGCTAAGGTGTCCTTAACCAGCCATGACTATAAAGGACATGGGGACCAGAGGAGCAGGCCTCTCTATAGCACGGGCTTAGATTCTGCCGGGTTCTTATCTAACTGTGTTGCCACTGGAAGAATTTCTGAAAATTGCTACAGGAATTCTAGCCAGCTCCCATGGAGCTCCACTCCCTGACTAAGAGGAATAGACCAGAGGACCTGTGCAATGCTGTGGACTGGAGTTCAGGAGGGACTTTTGGTGACCAGGGAGAGGAAGCAGCCATCAGAGAGGCTCTTGGCTCTCAGAAAAACTCTACATCCACACCAGGAGCAGCTGTAGTGGAAGTGTCTAGACTTAGCTCTTCTCCAGCACCCCCAACTTCCTTGCTCCAAGACAATGCTATTCAGCCAAGCTTTTTCCCGCCAGGACCTCCTGACTCAGGGAACAGCCAAGTAATGGCAGACCGTAAAGTCTGCAATTGTTGCAGCCAGGAACTAGAAACGTCTTTTTCTTATGTGGATGAGAATGTCAACTTAGAACAGAGAAGTCAGAGATCCCCATCAGCAAAAGGCAGTCATCACCCTGGCGATCTCGGCTGGGGAAACCCTAATGAGTGGTCCCGTGAGGCTGCCATGTCGTTGATATCTGAAGATGAGGACGACACAAGCTCAGAAGCTACATCTTCAGGGAAGTCCATAGACTATGGTTTCATCAGTGCCATCTTGTTCTTGGTCACTGGTATCTTGCTGGTGATCATTTCTTACATTGTCCCTCGGGAGGTGACAGTGGATCCCAATACCGTGGCAGCCCGGGAGATGGAGCGCCTAGAAAAGGAGAGTGCCAGGCTAGGAGCACACCTGGACCGCTGTGTGATAGCTGGGCTCTGCCTCCTCACACTTGGGGGAGTTGTCCTCTCATGTTTGCTGATGATGTCTATGTGGAAGGGGGAACTCTATCGTCGAAACAGATTTGCCTCTTCCAAAGAGTCTGCAAAACTCTACGGTTCTTTCAACTTCCGGATGAAAACCAGCACTAATGAAAACACCTTGGAACTGTCCTTGGTGGAGGAAGATGCCCTTGCTGTACAGAGTTAATTCTGAACTTCTTGAGAGACAGCTATATGTTTGATGTGAAAAAATTAAATCACCGGTGTCCTTTATTTGTTTGGCAAGAAAAGTTATCCTTTGTTGTTGTTATTGTCATTTTCTACATCCCAGAAGCCAGCCAGTGTTCTGTTTCCATGGATCTTTTATTAAGAAAACCTGTGTAAGATGTAAAAGAAACCATGGCCATCTATTCCTGACTTACTGCAAACTGAAAACGAATTCACCTGTAATGACTATGAATTTCTATTTCTATAGCAAAATACTTCCACTGACCTAATATACAAGTGTTTTCTTTTTACATAAACATGGATATTATTATTAGGTACTAGAAGGGCTCCCGCACAATGGGATCATGTGGCAATCTATTCTGTGAAACACAAGCTCTAATTAAATAGCAAAGCTTACGTTTAATTCCCAAAGTGCTTTTCCATTTTCTTGCTAAAATTTTATTCCTGTAATTTGACTAAACACTAAAATGTAGACTTTGGGAGTGTGAATGTTTTGAAACTTAAAGATAATGGTTATTTTTTAAAAGCTATAAAGTACTATATTTTAAAATATTACTGTGTTTAGAAATGACAACTATGTCATTAATATGTACCTTCTTACAAAGAAAATTATGTAAGTCATCTTCAGACCCACGTGAGGTTAACTGTTAACATAAGGTGTTTTCCTGAAGCCTTTTTTCCCCCAATGAAGTAGAGTAGTTGTTGATACATACTTTGTTTCCTTGTGGATTTGCCTTCAGCCTGATGACCTGTCCCCTTGAAATCTTTACTTCTCATACATGTGTGGCAAAGGATTACACTTTAAAAACATATCTTCTGGGAGCCAAACATTTAGACAGGTCTAAGTCATGAGCAGGCCTGGTATGCTCCCCAGGTGATGTTTTGTGGTGGTGGTTTGGAGAAAACCTCCAGTATAATTGCAGCTAGACTCCTGGGAACTATGCCTAGTATAAGTCATTACTTAAAAAGTCCTTAAACCTATAGCCAAAATCTTATATTGTAAAGAGAAAAATCAAACTCATTAATTTAGTGGGAGTTGTGTTCATCACTATCCTGACTCCACTTGACAAGGTCTAGAGATCATCCTGAAAACCTACTTTGGACCCTTGAGGACCATGTTCTCCCCTCATAAAGTGAAGTGTTTAGTCTATGAGAGGTTCTGTGGACAAGGTGGTCAGGAAAGAGATGGAAAATGTAGCCTAAGCAAGATCTGTATTGCACTGATGTTCCTTGAAGTGACTCACACCCTTCCACTTAGGTGTTTTATTAGTATAAAATGAGTTCATTCTTAAAAAGGACTGGAGCCAGGAATGGATGTGAGTGAAAGGATGAGCTAGTGAGAAAGGAATTTTGTTGGAGATTCTTAGGCTTAACAAAGTCTAATGTAGACACCTGTGTTTTTACTGAGGGATGTGGGTGAACTATATGAGTTTGTGTATCTATATGAATGAGTTCTTGTGGATATCAGAGCAGTTTGTTGAGTTACCTTTTAACAAGTTAAAGGAAAACACAGTAGTGGAGGATGAGGTAGGGATGGCAAGCACATCACAGAATTCTTAGGGAAAAGTAAAAAAAGTGTGGAAACTGTATATGTAGCCTCATTGCCTCACTCTGTAGAATAAAGTACTTGACCATGAAGTGCTGGCTTACTGAGACACGAAGCAGAACAAAGAACATATATTTTGATTATTGTAGCTAGTCTTTTGTGCTTTGTGTCTCTGTGACTCTCAGATCGTCTGTGCTGAAGGCATTTTCCCAGAAGTTTAAACTTTACCTTCTGGATGTTTATTCATTTTTGATTCCTAGTCTGCTTGAGGAACTGCTTTGGAGATGTTGCAGTAAGAAGGGAGTAATCTATCTCCATGAGTGAGTAGATCTGAGCTGGGTTCAAACTGCAACAACAAAATTTGTAAAATAAAATTTAAACCAGTTTAATCCAGGCCTGGTGAGTCATGCCTTGATTCTGACACTTGAGAGGCTGAAGCAGGAAGATCAATGCAAGGTCAAGGCCAGCTTAGACTACATAGTGGGTTCCAAGACAGCCTGGAATATAGAGTGAGACTTTCTCAGAAAAACAATAAACTATTCATGTTTATTTATATGAGATCTCTGAATTTTGTTTTTATCTATTTGTAAATCATGATTAATTAGTTTCATAGCAAATAAAACAGCACTAATTTGTGGTTCAATTTTCCATTCTTGATGAGCTTGAAATTAAACATGAAGGCTGTCCTTTCAATCCTATAAAACTAATGATAAGAAAAAAAGCCAGAGTTCTTCAATACAAAAAAAGTTAATGAACTCACTATGCTGCTAAATGGTATAGATATACTCTAAAGGCAGCACTTTTTAAAATGCCTTTTCAGAAAAGAAGATTCTAAATTGAAAGTAGGCAAATGCTCATTTCCATATTATCTCAAACTGCTCAAACACAGAGAGCATGACACAAGGTTCTGGTGATACGAGGGAAGGCCATTACACCCAAAGGGACCAATTGAGAAAATCACCCGGACGCTTTCTTTAGGCTGTGCTGATGTAATTCTAATAATTACCTTTATCTGCTTCCCCCCAGGCATAATATTTGTGTTGCCCTCATCCCTTCTGTTAGTGCCTGTCTTTGAGATGATTTCTTGATTTTAAAATGAAGCTGAGGAATATGGACATGGCTCAGGGTACAGCGCTTGCCTAGCATGTGTGAGACCCTGAGTCAAGCCCTCTGCACTGCAAGAAAATAACAATAAAAATAAAGGTAATACCGACAAAGAAACATTCTGAACTTTTGCCACCATTGATCTCAATACAATCCAAAGCGGTTTGGGTACTAGAATTGCTTTGGCCTGGACATGTGAGAAACCAGACATTGAATAGACTGAGGCAATGCTGTTGACCTTGGATCTTTCTTGGGCTTTGTGGCAATCTCTTCCACATGGTGCCAGTTGTTATCTGTGGAAGCTTCACGCAATTAACGGACAGTGTAGGCTTCCTAATATTTCTGATAATCTGTCCCCTTGCGGGGCATTGGAAACTGCTGTAGAGTTTGTGTGGCTCTTTGGAATGTTCTTTCCCTGCCGGCCATTTGGAGCGCCTGATGAGACCATGCAATGTGACGTGCTGGCCCCTTCATGTGAAGCTGTTGTCTTTCCCACCTTCTTGCTAGGTATCTGATCTATGATTTAGAAGAACAGCAGGCAGCTGGGAACCATCAAGTTCTCTCTGGCCTGGGTGTTTTCACCCATGTGACTGCTGGGTCCCTTAATTCTGCAATACCCAGATATTTACCTTGATATCAAAAGCTTAAACTACCTGAGCCCATCATCTCCCTTTTTAAAAATCTGTTTCGAGCCCAGTTTGACCCTGGCTAGCACATGTCCTTTCAAGGCTCAAATGTAAACAAACTGCCATACCAACATTTTTGTGCCTCACTTCCTTTGTCCCTAGAGTGAAATCAAATTAGTGAAAGTGCACCATGATAATTTTATATCAAGAATTAAGGATCTGAACACACACACACACACACACACACACACACACACACACACACACACACATTCTTTCTTTTAAGTTTCTTTACAATAAGAAAGCATTCTAAGCAATTACACAATGAACATTCTGGTCTTTTTCTCTCAAGTGTGTACACATATATGAAACTCTTATCTGGATTAATGGTCAGAGCAACAGGGAGAACACCTATGTATCTGTTAGAAGATTTTCCCAGTCTGAATATCTGATTCTACTGCAGCAAGTCAAGCTCCCACAAAAATGTAGCCTGACAAAAGAGAGTCGCAATGCTTGTCAACGGTTCCCGTGTGGCAGCAAGATGCAATGTCATCCCCTAGATCTAAATGCACCACAAAACAAGACACATCCTTACAGTTTTCTGGAATGGCTTCAGCTTTTCTCAAACTGGGCATAAACAGTGACCATGATGAGAATTAAAATGAAGTCTCAATAGGCTTTTCTCAGGAACTTGTAAGATGGATAATTAACAGTGTTGACTTGCAGGCTCTTTTCAGCTATATCATTTTATGGTCCACATAATATTCTATAAAATCTCTCTTTTAGTTTTTTATGGGCATATAACTTTGGAATTGATTTGCTTCACTGACATCAGCATTATCAAAAGGGAAGGTGCTAGTGCAAACACACGGAATAGCTTCCAAAAATCTATGACTTAACTTAAAAGCATAATCATGGCTTTTGTTAGTTAAGTATGCAGGTTGCTGTGTAGAAGACTGTATATATGTTAGGGTATGTTTTATAGATACAGAACCTTAATATTCATAAGCTATTGTTAGACTAATCATCTTATTGGAATTTGGCATGCCTTAACGTTAATTTTGTGAACAAGAAGTCTTCCATGGGTAACTAATAAAGAATTTGGAATCAACCTCAGAATGAAATGCTGTAAGAACATAAACCTGTTTTGTTTGTTCAGAGCCCTACAAATGCTTTTTGATTTATTTTTAACCTTTCAATTACAAGCTCATAAGTGTGTGGAATGTTTATAAATTATTTTATCTTGAATTAATATTTTCTTCCCTAGAAATGTGGACAGCACTGTCTTTGGCTCCCAAGTGTAGGGACTCCCCTGTGGTCTCACATCTCACTGCTCTGATTGCTTCTTACACAGACTGCAAACCAATTTGAGTAAGGAGACAAAGATGGATCTTCCTCTGCTGTGTATGTCTCTGTGATTCTTTCCTGGCTTTTCATCCTACTGTTCTTGCCAAATGAAAGTACTTGATGTTGATTGTGTATTTTTTGATATTATAAAGGCAGTCATGGAAGATGATGGGCTTTTTTCTCTTGGCATTTGCTGCCTTATATGGTAATAATGTGTCCTATCAATTTGAAATAAAAATATTTATTGAGATGTTTTTACTGTGCTCAGCTTTTATTGAAGTCTAATATTATACATATTTGGTCATTTAAAATTATTTTTAAAATTATCTAAAGAAAAAAATAAAGGTAATATTTACCTCCAAGTCAAGTGTAGCATTCTCCTTATTACCTTATCATTGAACTATGTCTTATTAATTTTGCTTGGTATGTATGAAATAGTGAATGCTATGTAGATTTCTCTAAATTACTTGGTATTGAATTTAGAGTATGAATTACATGATGTTTTTTAAGAACACCCATCTGAAAATCTAAGATTGTATACCTCAGCCAGTATAGCTCAGTGCCTTGACCAGACTAGGAAATCTAAGTAGGGGTTGCGAGGCAAAGAAGAAAGGACATGCATAAAGACATACGTATAGACACGCTGGGGTCTGGTGGGCTACCTGCACTTCGATGGATAGAGTGACACAACTATCAAAACAACCCAGAACCTCATCATGTTTGTTGTGTCCAGAAGAAGGAAAGGAATTAGCTAGTCCCTATAGGAGGACATTGTGAGCAGTCTCCAGCTGTAGGCATCCAGGACGAGGAAGCTGCAATTGCTAGTTTATACACACACTAGTTAATCATTTGTAAACACTAGTACTTGAACCAAGAACTTTGCCTTTTGTGTGTGTGTGAACAGTAGTACTTGGATCAAGGCTTTGCTTTTCTGATCTTGACCAGGGGAATGGCTTTCCCAGTTTCCCATGGGTCCAAGTCCTTGGTCCTTGACATGCCTGTGCCTATGTCAAAATATGCATTCATTTAGGACTTCTTTCACTCCTTATACATTCTCTCAAGGCTTCCTTGTATCCTCATAAAAGTAAATATTGAATTACATTATATTTTCTCTTTTAACCTTTTCAACTGAATGTTGAATGATAATAAATAAATGATATCTATTTCCTTTTGTGTTATTAAGTAGAATTGCATCCTTATTATGTATAAGTGTTGCCAAGGTCAGTTGATTCTAAAAAAAGAATTGGAAGTAAGGACACACACACACACACACACACACACACACACACACACACACACACACAAACACACACTTTTCACTGTTTTAAAAGAAAAACCAAATCAAGATTCTTGCTTATCATTAAGAAGAAAAATCTAGTTATTTCCACATATAAACTTTTAGAATGCTGTTTGCTTTGTTAACTAACTATGATCATGCAGGAGGAGTTAAGAAAGAAAAATTCCATAGTCTTCTTGCAATATAGTCCTTGCAGGTCACAGAAGTGATAGTCTCAGGGTCTTGTTATGATGTTGCTCCTCCTTATAGATGTTGCTGTTAACAAAACCGGGGAGTAAGGGAGTTTGCAAGGTAGCAAGCAGATAATCCATCCCCATACAACTTATCATCTCAGCTGGATATAGTGCCCTGTGCAAGCCAATAAACATGGTTTCATTACATGCTGAAATATGGGAGAGTTGGGACTATGCCAAAAGCCGTTGATGACTGATGTCATTTCTAACATCTCTGTCTTTTTCAAGCATATTACATCAATAAACATAAAATCCTTTATGCTCTCAAATGGCAGCGCCATCTATTTAATATTTTTAGAGTAGGTCAAAAGAACGTTTTTCTAAAGACTCTCCACAAAAGACATATTCTAGCAATTTTTGTGAAAGATAATTAAAAATGTAAGCTATCACAGTTTTAAGATTTTATATATATATATTATTCTGTTGTATTATTATATAGCAGTCTGGGTATGAAGCTAGTGCCTATGCTTTTAGCTCATAGACAGCAAGAAGTTCTTTTTTCAAGTCCCCAACTTGTGCTTTTAGATTGAAGCTTTATCTTAGTTAATTTTCGCCTTATTTTTACAAGTTGCTTATTACTATTTGATTTCTAACAATGAATGAAAACCTAAAGCTAAAAATGTTAAATGATCCCCTAAAATTATATATAATGCTAAGCAGTAGAAAATGAAAATTTAGGATTTTTTTCACTAACAAATTGGTTTTTATTCAAAGTTAGAAGAACTATTATCCAAGTCAGAAAAATCTATTTATGCTATTTTACTCTATAGTTATCAGTACTAAAGTGGTTCAAATAAACCTACATAGACATTTTTTCTTCAGTGCTAAAAATAAAATACAGTCACGTTTCTGATGTGTGAAATAGTACATATAGGCCTTATACAGTCTGCAGTATGGAATCCAAGGAGAGATAGCCATAAGTGAATGATTACTTTATGCCAAGTATTTTGCATTCATGTAGTGTATCTTGCACAGTCTTAACAGCACATGATACAATAAGAGTGTCAGAACCAAGAAGACACATGTCTTCAAGTTTGAATGCCTGTTCTTCTCTTCTCTTGTCCACTTGTCTGAACCATAGTTTCATTGTCTGTAGTATGATGATATTTGCCTTGTGGGATGTTGATGAACCTTAAATTTACCCCATTGATAGACAGTTTTTCTTTTCCCTGTTCC